TTTGTTCCTGCTGCCTCAAATTCTCTCCTTTTTATAGAATTAGGATCTTGACATTGAAATACATTGAAAGGCTGATTAGGAAAGAATTTGAATTGGTCTAGACATGTTTAGAACCTGTTATGGAAAGTAATTAAATTGCACCTGATTATGTTCTGATCGTGTTGGCTGTAATTTGAAAATTTCCTCTTATGATTGATAAACTTCCCTTTTTCACTTGAGTATGTTTGAGTTGTGGTTTTGATTTTTTTCGCTTTCATGCTTGCAGTCTTGTCTCAAAGCAGTAACACTACATGCTAACTCCTTATCTCTAATCAAATCCTTCTGAAGTGGTTTTCAAGTGGCGAGATGAAATGCGTAAGTTGAAGCCAGCATTGGCATAAGCTCATGTTGATGATCTTACCACTAAGAGTTACACCAAACTGTATATTGATGGAAGGAAGAACACTTATGTACTACCCATCAAGGGAGACAACCCACTGAGCCTTCGGTTTCTATTGTTGGAGAAGTATTTTTATAGAATCCCCACAGATAAACCAGTCTGGAAATGGAGGGGCAAGGGCCACTCAAAAGTCAGCAGTTGGAAGTCGAAGAAATTTGGGAGGAAACTTGTTGAAAGCCATTGCGTATCATTCCCCAGGAGGAACGAACGAAGGGAGTTGTTAACTTTCCATTTTATTTAGAAACTTTTCCTTCAGCATAACAGTTGCATCACAAATGGTTCAACTAAGATCACTTGGTCGATAAACAGTTTCAAAGTACTTCTGGAATGCTTGGATTTATTTGATATGTGTCGAAATACCTTTCTTGGTCTTCTTCTGCACAGAAAGGAAAGCTTGGTTAATGAGTTGAGTGCATGAAGAAGCATCGAAGAACTCCTCAACATAATATTTTGACCACCAATTTTTGAATTCTGAGGTGCAAAGAAAACTTGGTTCGAAGCTAGTATGGATGAGTTGAGCCTTGTCAGCATAGCGAGCAAGCTGTGTCAAAGTCTTCTCCTTAGTATATTTCACATGATGAAGAAGAAAATCACATTTCTTCTCAAAGAGACACTTGGGAAGAGCTTGGATCAACCCAAACTATCGAGCAACTAAGTTTAGTTAGTAAGCAATCAGAGTCACTTGAAACTTCGACAGATTCAGTCGAAGGGTTAATAATCTTGGAATCAGAAAGGCCTTTCAGATCAATAAAGACTATACTTCTTGAGCTTTGGTTGGGGCTGGAAAGAGTCTTGTGAACCACTCAGGGTCGTACTTCCTTGTAGCAAAGGGATCCATGTTCGACGTGAACTCATGACATTTGAAAAACATCATGACATAGCTCAAGAATGTTGGCCTGAGAGATTGTCCTTCTTCACGAGGAGTAAGCTTGACCAAACGAGTCCCTTCAACTCTTCTGTTATTGATTTCTTCAGCGGCTTCATCTATGGGATTCTTTTTGGGAAGACTGGCTTCGAATGATGCGTTCAACCAGAGTTGTAGTAGCCAAAAGGGGCCAGATAGCAATAGGTTCCCTTTTTCTCCAAAATCTTTGAGTTGAGCCACTCCTTCACTTAGATATTTGTAAAGATTCCCTAAGATCATTTCGCTCAGACATACATCATGGCCTTTATGAACTGAGTGGCCAGAGTAAGATATCTTCTAGCTACTTTGAAGGATTTCAAGTAGAAGATACAATGAGATAGCCATACGATCAAGAAGGCTATATGTTATGTATCCGAAACATCATCAGTTGTTTGGTCATAGTAATGTGTTATGAAATGTGAATATGTAGCCTTAGCGGATGCAAAACCTATTGAGTCATCAGATTCTAGGTCTGGGCCGTAAGTGCATCCAGTAGGTTTGAACCCTGTGATAGCGACTATGTTAAATAATGTAGGAGTCATCATCCCACAAGGGAGATGGAAGGTATAGTGGGTGTTATCCCAAAAATACCAAGAGAATAACATGGTTGAACAGTAATCGAGACTCGTCTTCGACAACATGATCAGGTCATAGATTCCCATGTTCTTCTAGGTTTAGGACTTAACTTTTTTTACCTTTGCTAACCAGTTCATATAGTCATCAGATTCCTTAAAGAATAGGGTCGCTCGAAAGACTCTAAAGCTGTTATTCATATACCTTAAATCTATGTTATTCAACGCTACTGCATCAGAAAAGGATTTTTCAACCCTAGATTTATTAGTTTGCCCTATGGGTTTGGATTTGTGATAAGAAGGAAAAAAGTCCCTAGATTTTCTATGACCAAAGCTAAGAGTAGGTAAAGGGCCGAATAATGCATGTCGTTACCAAAAACAATAACAGGAACAAGTACCTGAGATTCGTAGATTTTTCTCTTTTCTTCTTCAAGCGGCTCATGAATGAATTATTGGTTCTCCACCATCTTTGGCCCTGAAAGTGTGTCAAAGGGAGGAGGATAAGAGATCTTTGGATTTTAGGCCTTTTTTGGAGTCTTTTATGCTGGTGGTTGAAGACGCCATTGTTGAAGGTTGAAGAAATCTGAGTATTTTCTTTGAAGATTTGAAAGGTGAAGAGAGAAGAAAATGCTTGAGAGTTTTTGAGAAGTGTAAAAAGTGAAAATGGCTAAGTATGAAGCTATTTTATAAGCTTGTGGAAGTTTAAGGGACTTCAAATCAGCATTAAAAGAGTTGATGGTTAGTGGGACACGTGTTCCACCAGGGTTGTTTGATGGAACGTTTGCAGTTAATGCCTAGCCCCACAATCTCCTAGAGTCTAGAAAGCGTGATGATGGCTAGAGATTTTGGCGTGCATTAATAAGATGTTTCAGAAACCGCTATGATGATCGTGACACCTTGAATTTTCTGAAATAATGATAGACATCAAAGTCATGCAAGAGTCGTTCGAGGCGTCGAATGACATTATCAAAAAATGTCTTTTTCTTCAGTGATGTCGAAAATGATATTTTTGGGGGGCAATTTGTTGGCTCTAAATTTCAACGCCTGAATTGGATTAAAAGGAAGTAATAGTTTCTAAAGAAATCAGATGACTTCGACCATAACTACATTTTAGGATTGTGAGTCGAAGGTGTCCCTTTGCAAGGAGGAACTATTTTAATGGACTTAGAAATATTTCCTAACAATTGGGAAATGTGATTCGACAAAGGTGCTACTGAAGGCATTTCGATAGAAAGATTTGAATTCAAATAAATGAGGGAATGCTCGTTCTTATCCATTTCTTAAAGAAGACACGTGGAGCGTTTTCAAGAGTCGAAGACATGTAGAACGCCACTTGTCCCGATCTAGTTCGTTAGCCATTGATGATAGTTATTTTCAATTAGTATAAATAACTAGTCTTAGTGTTAGGATTGGTGTGTGTATGTTCAACTGTGTACAAGTTCCTCAATATACTCAAAGCACCCGTGTGTAGAGAATAGAGTTCGTGAGACTGTATGTTGATGCAACACCATTTTTACATTTCAATGCAATTCAATAAGTCTTTTCATTAATAATTTATCTTTTCTTTGCGCAAGTTACTTTCTACATTTTTTACTAGTCTTTCGACTTTAATTTCTTGTGTTCAATTCCATTTACATCTTTGAAACAAGTTATTTTTATCATGAACTCTGTCGAAGTGTTCATTGTTTTTCCAAACTTTGTTTAAGATAAACTAGCACATGTCCTAAGATTTGTGTGGTCGATCCTGCGAGTAAAACAAATCTTTTTCGATTTGGAAGATCATCGGTTGTTCACCAATTTTCACGGTGAACAGGCGCGAAAGAGGAGGAGAGAGTGTACCTGCAAGGCGCTCTGATGGTAAAGTAAGAATAGAGAGAGAGAGAGAGAGAAAATACAAAATATGAGTATATTAGGGTGAATATTGGATACCTGACCCTCTCAAGTGAGAGGGTTTTTATAGTGCCTTCAGCGCTTGGACATTGGTCCCTATTTTCGGGGCGAGATAACCGTTTCTCGAAGAATAGGTAACTGTTAGAACTAGCCGTTGAAACAGACAAAGGTGCCAATAACTAGTCGTTACTACGGGCATGAGTGCAGTTACAGGCACAAACGTCTTGACTATTTCTGGATGGTGGAACCGTGCATGACAGACAAGGACTGCCGAGGAGAAGCGCTGTGACCAAGGATAAATTGATCAGCCTTCCCTGTTGGAGGGGCAGAAAAGTAAATGCTCCCCCAAATTGGGTGGACTTAGACAATTGAATCGTTCGAAGAGCAGAAGTTGATTGGGGTATGCCTAACCATTGGGTTAGTCCGAAACAATTTCTTTTTTTTATTGCTTGTTGTTTTATATCTTCTATTTTATTGTTTGACTTGTATGTTCTTGGTTCGATGCTTTGCATAGTTCAAGTATTTTTTATTTCTTTTTGTATTTTTGTGTAGCTTATGATGATTTTTTCCTTCTTTTTCTAATACATAGTTTCTAAAATGCTATTTAAAAAAATTAATAAGAATGCCATTCAGCACCGAAACAAATATTATAAAATTCATTTTCTCTATTTTGCATAAAATTCAATCTTAACCATTACATATTCTAAGAACTTTTAATCAATATTATCATAGCCATTACCACATGTAGTCCTTTAATTTTTATTTTAATGTTAAACTAAGAGAAAGACTTGAAACAAATTATTCACAGTGTGAAAATTAACTCCAATTATTTTAAGGACTAAAATAAAAGGGACCTAACTACATCAATCTTAAATGTACAAACCAATAAAAACCAATCAATATGCTTTGATTTTTGTAATCTTGGAGTGTAAGTACTCTGTAAAACATCTCCAGCGTTCTCATCCTCGTTGAATCAACAAATAATCTTAACCGTCAATTGTCATGTCATCATAAGAATTAATAAACGGTTAAAGAAGTGCCACGTCACCGATCCCCGAATAGCCTCAGTAGCCAATGATAACAGGAAACCGCTATCATATAAGAAAAACCGCAACCCCCTCTATTCCATCACAACAATCTCTATTTTTCATCCAATTTCATCTTAACATTTCAATCTCAAACCCTAAGTTTTCCAATGGCGCCAAAAGGAGAGAAGAAGCCCGCCGAGAAAAAACCCGCAGAAGAGAAGAAATCCACGGTAGCCGAGAAGGCTCCGGCGGAAAAGAAACCAAAGGCCGGAAAGAAGCTACCTAAGGAAAGCGGTGCTGCCGCTGGAGACAAGAAGAAGAAGAGAAACAAGAAGAGTATTGAGACGTACAAGATCTACATCTTCAAAGTTCTGAAGCAAGTTCACCCTGACATTGGTATCTCAAGCAAGGCCATGGGAATCATGAACAGCTTCATCAACGATATTTTCGAGAAGCTAGCTGCGGAGTCTTCTAGACTTGCGAGGTATAACAAGAAGCCGACGATTACTTCAAGGGAAATTCAGACCGCGGTCAGGCTTGTGCTGCCCGGAGAATTGGCTAAGCATGCGGTTTCTGAGGGTACTAAAGCAGTAACTAAGTTCACTAGTTCTTAGGTTTGACACTGTTGCTTAGGGTTTCTTGTTTACTTATGTGGATCTAATCGATGTTCTTGTTTTCTTTTAAACTGTGAATTATATGACTCAGAATGTATTATGATGCATTGATTCGATTCAGAGATTAGTGAAACCTTTTTTTTAAGTGACTGTTTTTTATTTAATGTCTTGAATTTATAGCTATTGTCACACTGAATGACACTGCTCACTCTCAACTTTATGATGAAGTTGCTTTTACACTATTCTTAATCTAAACTGACAAGAATGAAATGCTGCAAATACATGCTTAGCTTAAGTAATCAGGTTGATAACATGGCATTCTTTAGATGATTAAAACAGTTTTACAAAAAGAAATTCAAAAGTGTTCATTTGACATTCAAGTTACTCGCAAAATACTTTTCAATGTATGTGTGCCACCAAGTTTGAGTTGCCTCCTTGGAACGTTATTATCGTCGTGTGATTTTGGCTGATGCAGTTTATTTAACTTATCTATGTTAGAGTTTCATGGATAATTCACATGTACTACCATTTCATATCAAATATCTTGCTCAAATTAAAGCACGTTTCTTATCTTTTATTTGATTGATTTTTTATTTATATCTTTTATTTTATCTTTTTTATTTATTAATTTTTTTTCAAATATTGCCAACATTAATTGAATTACAACAAAGTCCATGAGTTGTGAGCTACTCCTCTCCCGAAATAAAAATCATATTCCAATAAATTATTTATTTTACAAATTTCTGTTAGTCACTGGGATTCTTTCTGTTAAATTTTACAAACATCTGTTAGTAAGAGAAAATGTGACACTCTAGACGGTGTTTGTTAGATGATAAGAGAAAATGTGACACTCCAGATGGTGTTTGTTAGATGACATGAAATATGTTTGTAAAAATGAAATACTATGTCATCAAATGTAAGCTGAAACGTTGTCATGCAATTCATTTTCATTCCATTTTCACTTCATCCACATAAACTCCATTTTCACACCAGAAACCCTATAGGAAGACGAAGCTGAAACAATCACCCGTTTCTAGATAGTTTCATTCATTTTTACTTCTCCATTTTTCATTATCATT